CATAGTTAAGCAAAGACCTGTTCTTTACCCATTGATATTTATAAGAGTGACATGGTCTCGATAGAACAAATCAAAAGAGGAACGGATAGTCCACTAACGTGGTATGTTGTAGTTGTCAAATATCTAGTTGATGTAGAACAATCAGCACAGTTAGCGATGAATTTAATGAAGTGGAGAAAAAGGTTCATATAGCCAACCCAAATTATTGAAAATAGAGTTATGTTTATTTCTGCAACATGGTTTTCCTGTTGGGGGTGGAGGAGGTCTAAATATCTTGAGCACCTTAAATCATGGAGACTCACTCCATAAACCATTAGTAGAATATGGTACAATATGCTATAACAGAGAACTGAGACGAATAAGACATGTTAACTAAATAAATCATAGTAATAGCTTTTTTAGATTATATTTCATTAATTATACAGTGTCATATTGCAAAAGCCTTCATACTTAAAACAGCTACCCCAAGCAAAATATTTAGACTAAGCAATCCAGCGTTGTTTTCTTAAAACTGAAGCAAAAGTGTATTATTCAGGAGCATCATATAAAATGCAGTTCAGATGTTGGATTATTTAAGAGCCTTTCTCATTAACATCATCAATGTAACACACTTCCTTAAATCTTTTAAAACACCGCCACAAGAAAAGGTTATAAAATGTAACCCAGCAGAAAAACTACTTAATAGAAACAATTCATACCATATTAAACCAAAAATAATGACATCACAACTTGTCATAAATAATAAGTATTTACAACATTCATTCATCGCATAGTAGGAAGCGTTGCAGGAACAGCATTTTCATCATTCAACTGAGGAATTGAAATGCAAAACCAATACAGAGAACGCTCGTGTTAAAAAGGCTCGTAGATAATTGTTTCCTTTTCTTCAGTTCAAGTTTTTCCAGTCATTTCTATTGTTTTCAATAAGATTCTCATTTTATTTATTTTTTTGGATAAATTAAGTACAAAAATCCAACAATGAACTAGAAAAACACCCACCTTGAAGTGGACTCTGAGATCAGATCCCCTGGCTTTGCATGCTGAAACACATACACCATACACAGTTTAGATTTTCAAACAATCATTTCAGTGTACACAAAAGCAAGCCCACATGGAAAAGATTAATAATGCAAAGGGAAACTTTGGCCTGCAAGGGTAAGGTACAGCAATTGAAGCATAATGCACTACTCGCTAGATTTAGCACAATCACCTCCACTGCTTGTACCTTACCCTAAAAGAATGAGAACAAGTTTGGTGCACTGTAAATGTGTATATCCATCGATGTATCATATGAATACTTACACTTGGTCAGGTTGTCGGGCTCCCTGGAATACTTCACCTATAATGTCGGCAAAGGAATCGTTACGGTGCAGCTTTAGGCATCTTTGGATACACAAAGGCATCCACAAATACGTACATCGATACATACAAGCACGCATATAAATCACAAAGGTGAATTCTTTACAATACCATGGCGAAGAAGGCGGCGGTGCAGAAATCTAGACCCTAAACGGAGAACCAGGTTTCCTGAATAGAATCTCAGATATGATTTAAACCCTAAGTGCTAGTGCTAAATTGATTTTGGACTAGACTTTTTTCTTTACGTGGGCCTGTAAACCTATTTTACGGGCCTTCTGGGCTTGGGTGAGA